AGCTACGTGTGAATATTATTTAAAGCTCGACACTCAGGTTGCATATACACGAGAATATATATGTTAAATGCCACACATGCCACGCGGCAACGCGGAGTATGCAAAATATGCGCTTAATTTTTTAGCAAGCGCTTCAGCTGCAGTTTATGCCACACACAATTTTAAATTTGGAATGCACAGCTAAAAAACTGCATTTATGCAGCTTGCCATAAACAAGCCACAAAATTGCAAATTGCGTTTGGCAATTCGAGTCGTGTTGCTTCACGAAAGTGGAAAGTTTAAAGCAAGCGCTGCATAATAATTGAAATTTTCATTCGAAAACTTTGACAATTTGCAAGCGATTGCCAATGGCAGCTGATGAACTGCAAAGGGGCGAGTTTAAAGAGAAAGCTACAAAATACCGAGCGAGCCAACAACAAAAGTTGTCGCACAGTCAACAACAGCGGCTGCAAATGCACAAGGAAACTGTCTAGGGATTGGTAGAGGATTCTTGCGTATGCAACATCATCTCATTGCCATGCACTGTAGCACGAATTTCAATAAAAAAGGAACGTACTGCACGGCAATATGCAATATGCAGCATGTGAGGCTGGACGGGTTAACGGTGCGTATGACAAATGTTGCTGTGCGCATCCATTTCATGCAACTTGACGTGCTGGACACGTAAGCAGTGCTTAAACTGTGCGTAGGCAGTGATACACCGTGAAAAATATTCACGTACTGTCAAGAATAATATTAGATTTTCGTAATAAATAACACTTATACCCTGAACCCATTGAAAATGGGAAATCAAGGTATAATGGCTTTGTTAAAAGTATGTAGCAGGCAGTCAGTAAGCTCACAGTGCAGCCAATGCGTGTTTATGCGTGCGTGCCTGTGTGTGTGCGTGTGTGCATGTGCGAATAATTATTGAAATATGAATTGCTCGAAGGGTGCAGGGGATCTCGTAGTCGAGCAGAGCTTTCTTCTCGACGAAAGCTTTCTTACTTGTTTTAATATTAATTTGCGAATATTCAGATTATGATATAAAATCATTTCAATCGAATTTCTAAAGGCTTTAGATCATTGTGGCACGATTAAATTGGGAATATTCTATTGAGATAATATTCTAAATGATATTCTTATTGTATCACAAGTTACCTAGGTGCAATTTTAAAAGAAAATAGAAAAATATCGGTTTGTTTAATATAACCTACTTCGAGTTTCGCTCAGTGTACGAAAAATGTAATCGGTTAGCTATAGTTAATGCTACAGTCGAAGCACACGCTACACCTACGCCTGTGTGTACAGCTGCAGCTGTGCATGTGTGTTAAGGGGCGTGTCATTGTTAAGTTTTGCAGCTGTTGTTGAGTGCAGAGTTAACTTTCGAATGCGCTCAATCATAGCACACTTTGGCACCGGCACCAGCACCTGCACTTGCACCTGCACCAGCAACAGCAACGGGAGGGGCTGGAACCGCATCCGGGTGCGACACAGACCACGCCCTCAGTCACAACAATTGCCAATCGATAGCACTGTCAACGGACGTGTGTATAGCGATAATTAGCTTTGAGCATGGGGGTGCAATCAGCTGTATTTAAAGCGTAGACCAAACAACCTGCTACCTATTAGTGGGAGCGGGGACTCCCCCTCGGCCAATTCAACTCACCCCCCACCAGCAGCGCTATTTTTACGCGCATTTCGTTAAATTGTTTTTGCGCCGCTCGGCGGAAAATTTCTAGAATTGTCAGCAGAAAAAATAAGCAACGTACGGTAACGTACATTTTCAAACGTGTTTCCCTGCATAATAACAGTTAAACGCATTTGCCACGCCCTGCAACACGCCTATTTATATGCGTCGTCAAGTTGGCTAATAGCTGGCATTATTATATTTTATACGTGCATTAAGCCAATCCACAATGGCAAGTGACTTAGATGGAAGTGGTCGACTGGAAGATACCCTTTAATAATGGAGAAGGTGGGTACACTCATAGTTAGGAATTCAAGGATTTTGTGATTGCATAATGATGATAAACTTATCGGTAGACTACAATAATTAAGGACATTTAAATAATTTTTGAAAAAATATTAAACAAATCGATAGCTAAAATTGTATCCCAAATATCTTGAAGTACTTGAATTAATTATATATATATTATTGTATTCTAGTCATGGTTAAAGACTGCATGCTAAATATTAGTCTATCTATTACAGGGTATTCAAAACACCCTGCAAAAGCCTTATGATGTCATCAGCATCGATGGCAAACATATATGCACATACATAGGCGTACTCACTCACCCATTAATACTCTCACAGGCATACGCGGCGTATGAGTAATCGAGTACCCTATGGCGCAGCAAAAACATAAAACTGATGGATATGTACTTAATATAAATATGGACAGTCTGACGGTTATTAACAATTTATTTATTTATTTATACGTATACGTTGTGCGCATTTAATTTATACATATATATACATTCACATTGCGCATTACAAATCGTGTATTTTGTTTATATATTTTAATAGACAAATAAGAATATTACGCGCTGTTTGCCAAAAGTTATGAGCGTGTAAATAAATCGATTCAGTTCAACAGCTGAAAATCGAGAGTAAACACGTCTAGCAACTGAACCGAAGACTAAATACCCTCTGGCAGTGCTTGCGGCAATTATTATTGATAAACGGATTGGCAGAGAGCAATAAATATCATCATTCAATGAAGCCCTTGCAAAGCTATTCAGAATCACATAGAAAGACGATATACTTTAACATAGAAAACGGGAAAGAAAGAAAATAAATTTAGGCATTAAGCCTTGCTCGTAAGCTTATGAAACTCGAGTACAGGGTATAAGCCAAAGTAAATTCAAATATATACGTTTTTTATGGAGATTAAATGCGCTCTCTGACTAATCAAATCAGTGCTATGGCGTGTAACTGCGCCTTACTTTCGTGTGCCAGTGGCCAGACGAATAGCTCATTGTACAATTCAAGGCAAGCAACGAAATCCATCTTTCTATTTTAAGCCACAGTCAAAGTTTCTGCCTTGCTGTCGACTCGCTTTCAATAGCCAATTAAGAGCTTAGTGTGAAGATACCCACACCCCGGTGCACAGTAGAGAGATACATAAAATATGCTCGGACAGAAAGGACTACGAGCAGAAACAGAAACAGAAGCAAAAGCAGCAGCAGATGGCAGAGTTCTCTCTTGTTCTCGCTGGCCAGGACAAGGAATCCACGAGTGCTTTGTACGCCCTACGCGCTATACGCATGATGCCTTTCCCGGCTGCCTGTTTGCGGATTATGTGGAATTTTTGTAGCTACTCTTTGTTGGCCTAAGACCAAGAGCAAATCTTTGTTGAAAAGTTGTTCATCTGCTTGCGCTTTACCACAACGTACTCACGGCACTCACGGCATTTTTCGTGCCTTGACAGTTTCGCATTTAATAAGCATAATGCACATTACCTTACATTTAAGCCAAACTCAAGAAGATGCTTACCTCACAATTAACAATTTTTAATTGAATCTGAAAAGCACTTTAGGTATTCAATTTTTCAATTAGATTATGTAAACGTTTTTGTCCGCCACTAAATTCTAATCAACATTTTTTCTTCTGCTAAAATTGTTTTTATATAATTCATAGACTTTAAACTCTGAATATTTTATATACCAAATCAAACTTAATTCAGATGAAAATCTCAGCTTACAAATTCATATAATGAAATGCATACGTTTTTGTGGCTGAAAATTTTCGTATCTCAGAAAGAGTGCTACACTAGAGGGATACCCTGGTTACAGTTGTTACTACGTTTTTGTTCTAATATGGTGACGTTTATATAAGAAAATTTATTTACCTTATGAATATTGTTTTTTTTTTCTATAATAAATAAATAACGCCAAACGTGATAGAAAAATGCTGAATTAAGTCTTCTATTCAATATACTCCGAAACTCAATATCTAGTCGAAGGAGCTGTCGTTTCTGAAGGTACTATACATATTTTATGGGTAAAACTTATATATTACTCAACAGAAGGAAGAGAAGATCTAGCCATATCTGCCTGTCCATCTGTCCGCTAGTAAGAATTCAGCAGAATTCAGCAGCATTCAATAAGCTTATAAATTTTTCAATAGCTAAATCCATTTTATTAGTACCCATAATAATTGACTTAAAGCATTAATGTTACCTTGAATACCATAGAGCTAGATCTTAAATTATCTCTGCGGGTATATTTAAGGAATACTCCGATTGCGAATATAAAACATTTCTGACGACTACTCTGTATCCAGCAAACCTTTCCCGCAAATTATAAGCCGTAGTATGATTTTTCGTATAGAACAAAAATTATTCAACAACTTGTTGATTATTAAAAAAAAAAAAAATGAAGTTATCTAATCTTCTAGGGTATTAGAGTAATGAATTTGTTTATTGTTTATAACCCATATTTATGCATAGTTGAAGACCTATTTAAATTACATGGATTTCAATTCGCATGTCGTTGTCCGAATCCGGCATTTAATTAAAAAATGTAAAGCTTTTATTCTTATCATTATAATTAAATGGTATAGAAAATATCATTTCGTGACATGTATAACAATATAATCTTCTGTCTGACACGCCCAACCAAGTTTTAATAAAATCGAATTGCATTAATCATTCAAGAGGTGAGAATGTTTTGTTGGCCCTGACAACAAGAACCTCAACTTATGTTAGGCCCTCAATTAAGTTGTCAAATATGGTTTAATGAGAGTGCTTTGACAGAGACAGAAATACAAATAGGAATGGAACGAGGGGAATGAGTGGAATGCGCGGGCCGAGGGCAAGAGGAGGCGAATGCGTGGTGCACATCAGCGCCGTCTAGGTATATTGTTAGCCCAGTTAAGTGCCAGTTCGGCAAACAAACGTTCAATAGAACCCAAGGTAATGGGCAGAGGACAAAGGATATATACCAGTTCATTTGTGTTTTATGCATACATAGACATAATAATTTATTTATATCTTTATTAAGTGCAAATAGCATAAAAAAGTCTTTGTATAATATATATATTACTGTGTCTCCAGGTATTTAGTATATTATTCCCTATCATATATATAAATATATTGAAGCTCATTACCTTTCACTATGTTGGCAGCCTAAGCATTAGCAAGTCATGAAAACTTAACTTCTTTTTTGGTTCAGATGAGGACAGTATCGAAGGTCTATAGCCAATTCGTAAGTGATTCAGGCATCTGGTTGAGCTGACACAGTATCTTCTAGTCGGTCTCATTCAACTTGCACACTCATATGAGTCCGCGCTGCTTTGAAGCATCTGCATGTTTACTTTAATATGTATTTTTAGCCCTTGTTGCACAATGCCAACAAAACAAAGACAAGGACGAAATTCTTGTCAAGGTGGTTCTGTTGAAAGAGATGAGTGCTGCGACATATGAAATAGCGAAAAAGAGGGAAATGGCAGTACTATGAAGTTTTAATACCCTTTTTGATATAGTATGTATGTGTAGCTATTGATTTTGATTTTGTGTTTTTTTTTTTTATTTTTATTATTATAATTTATATTTGCTTATGTCTATACCCCAATATATACTAGATAACTTTGAGAACTCCGTTTTTTTATGCCTTAATATAGTATTTATATGCAGATATTCACAATTCTGAGTAGGCATCTCAGATTCAATTTTTACTTTGTTTTATTAAATCACACCTAAACTTAGCTGGCCGTAATATTAACATAAATATAAAGTGAATGTTAACATACTATTTCTAATTCATTTTAACAATAATAGAGAAAAATTTGTCATATTTAATGGGTCTCATATATAAATAAAATATACAAATAAAAACAATTATATGGTGAACTAAAGTCAGAATATGATAAGACCAATTATTTATACATAAAATTTAAACAATATTTCGTTACATTCTTTTTTCCTTTTACTTTTACTTACAATCTTTTATTCCTTTTATTTTTCTAACTTATTTAATATTAAAAGGTTCATGAGAAACATCATGAGTCAAAATCATATTTGCCCCTTAATTTTACAGACAGGTTACAGAATTCGTTGCAAAATGAGCATGGCCTCTGTAAGAGTGTCAAATTAAATACGAGCGATATCTTCATGTGAATGTTTTGTGGTTAGCAGCTAGGTCGCGTAACCAGGGTCAGCCACGAGGATGAGCCACGTGGGGAAGGTCGCGTGTGTAGATTGTGGAGAGGCAAATGGCAGTGCGCATCTCTGGCTGCTTATATCCAAGCGAAGTGTTAAACCGAGCTAAATGCTTAGCAGCCTTGGCAACTAGCTCGTAAGTAGTTTGTTGTTGCCACTTTATAAACTGCACGACACAAACTTGAAAGCGGCATCAACTTTGTTTGCATTGCCCGCTGCGATATTGCTGAAACATGCACAAACCGAGATACGCTTCGGGTGAGAATTCGGTAGCAGGTTGCGCTAGCGTTAAGGTTCCCGGCAATGAGCTCTTGGCTCTGGGCCGTGGCTCTGTGATGTCTACATTTTGTGTTATTTATCACCTCTTGCACTTTGGTCACGCAAGTCAACGAAGTCGTGCCATGTCGCCGCCTAACCCAGTTGCCGGTTGCCAGTTGCCAGTTGCCAGTTGCCAGTCTCTGGTGCTCTTCCACTTGACTTCGCTTTTGCATGTGCTCGCCATTGTTTGTCAACCAGTCTGCCGCCCTCTTGGTACGTGTTCATAAACAATTATTTATGCACAAAAACAGAAATGTTAAGAAATATTTTTTAGCTGCGGGGCCATGCGGGCGTCCTGTGACAATGATAAGGCACAGAAAATGTCCTGGCATAAATTCTCAACTGCACAACAATTTAGTCTTTTATTTTTGCCATAAAAAACGTTTTGCAGTCACACCCAAATTTTGTATTTTATTTATCGTCAATTTGCTTCTTTTTTTTGCGACTTGAACGGGTGAATGGGTTAATGGAAACATTCGTTTGACTGATTCATTAAAGCGAAGCCATAATACGATGTTCTGTTAATGTGACATTGTTTATGTTCCACTGTTAATATGCCACTGTTAATATATCACTGTTGATTTGATACTATCAAAAAATGTCTGCTTATCTCACACTGATCAGTCGTAACATAAAATGTTAATATAGCACTGTTAACACCCAATTGTCTGCTTGAGCTAACATAATTATTATTGCAATACTGGGCGATCAGAAATAGTATTCCTTGAGGTATAGCCTGGTTTGCCTCACCCTAAGTATAAACGCATTAATCTAGTACATAATACGGCATAGATGCATTTTTGCACGCTCTAATTAAATATATACTAAATTGTTTATCAAGTTTCCGAAGAAGTATTTTTTAGTCGAAAGACCACTTTAATTTTTCCAATATAGTTATTAGAAAGAAATAAGGTAAAACTTCTCGTCAAGTAATCAAAAAATAATAACAACTAGACGCTCATATTAAAACTTTTTTCTTGTTTCTAAAAAGAATTAAACTTCTGTAGATGTCAAATGATTTTAAATTATGAAATGTGAATAAATTAAATCTACAGATATATTTATTATTTTTGTGTGCCAATCAAGCGCAGTTGATAACGTTCCCTGACCACACCGCAAGGCACGTCAGTAAGCAAATATTTCCTGCTCACTTTTACACCATAATTCATTCACTTTTCACAATTGTTCATTTTGTTCAAGTTTTGTACTGTACAATAATTTCGGCAGAAATTTAAGAAAGTTTTTGAGCTGGTCTCTCGTCTTCCGGGTTCCCAATTGTAATTTTATACGCACAATGCGAGGGAATTGCGTCAAGTGTCCGCGGCTTTGCCACCTTGCCGTGTCCCATTATGCCACATTGAAGTTGACAGCGGACTAACAGAGAAAAAAGAACGTAGTACGCAGAAAAGTTTTTAAAAATGAGCAGCATTCTGTCTGTCTGTCTGCCTGTCTGCCTGTCGGCTTGTCTGCCTCTTCATTATTTTCTGCATAACTTTTTTATTCGCCTGATAATATTTAAATAATAAATGAGTTTTTGACAAGCGGGCAACAGCTTGGGCATTGGGGTTTATTTCGGGTCAATCATTTGGGGAGCGCGCCCAGGCCCTAAATTTGTCTACCCTTTTCCAATAGGCTCCTATAAATATGTCGAGAATTGTGTAACGCCTTGCAGCAGACAGTTCGCAGGGAGCAATCGCACCATCCACAGCGTCAGATCCCTTGAGTGTACAGCAAGGCCACTTTATTTCACTTTACTGCTGCGCTGGATGGCAGGTGCAAGCATATGGAGAAGAAAGAAATTAAAGTCAGCAAAAGAAATGACAAGTATGCAAAGCATAAATGTTACTTCCTTCAGTTACTTCCTTTCGTCGACTTCTTCTCGTGTTTCTCATTAATTTTTCTCTACACTTGTTTCTATTTTTCTATTTTCTATACCATATCTGTCTCTTTTTTAGTTTCACGTTATCCTCTACTCCTTCACATAATTAATCCAGTTTGATTTCTGTATTTTCTTAACTTTCATTAGATATTTAGAAATATTTCCTGTTTCTTTGTCATCACATATATTCCATCTGTTAATCTTCATCGTACATTTACCACGTTCTCCCCTGTCGTTTTCACCCTATTTAGTACTTCAATTCAGCTACTGCCATGATTCTGCTTGTTTGTTATTTCTTCTTGACTCTTCTTATACTTTTTTCGCTTTTCAACATTTTTGAATCTATATATTCGCTATTACATTAAGCTTTTACTATTTTCTTTTCTATATTTGTTTCATCTTTTCTATATTAGGATTTTTTTAATAGTTTGTAGGAATTATACATATTTCTCATTACATTAATCATTTTTCCCATATTCATAGAATTCAAAGGGAAATTCGAAGGATAGCAATATACCAAATATATAACAAAACGTTTATTTATAGGATATTCAAGGTGCGGCAATGTATATTTAGCCATACTGTCTACTTTTTATTTTAGGTACTTGTTTACTTGGGCCCGCGTCGAATTGAATAAATCACTTTAACTTCTCAGTTGCAGCTCATTACAAGTTGTTGCTGTTGCTCGACGACTCACTCTGTCTCATGTGTGTGTGTGTATGTGTGTGTGCTTGTGAGTATTTTTACAGTTTCTCAACGTCATTTCCTCATTGTGGACATTTTTCAAGCGCTGTTGCTGAGTCGCCTTCCGTTTCCTCCCCAACTTTTAGGGGCAATATTGTTGCTGTTTCTGTTGCTGTTGCTGCTGCTGTTGCTGTTGCTGCGGCTGCTGTTGACATTATTGTTGCTGTTGTCAATGGCGTGCAAATGTAATTGGTTTAGCCGGCAGTTTAACCCACTGTTCAACGTTTTGTCGACTTCTGCTGCTGCTTGCACTCGAACCGTAATGAAATTTCATGACATTTGGCATTACGTATACGTCGCGTAACACGTAATGGCACACATTTATGTAGCTGACGCTGCTGCTGCTACTCCTGCTATTGCTGCAGTGCGCATCAAACAAATTGACATTATACCATATACAGTGCATAACCCCTTACATATACACAAGTATATATCAATGTAATTGCTGCGGTTGCCTTCAGCCAAATTAATTGCTTCGCCTTATTGCGATTCAATTTCACAGCAATTTTTCATGTAACCAGCTCATAAATAACTCCATGTGATGTGTGTGGGTGTGTGTGTACCTAATTCGCTCACCTGTTTAAACCAGGCTAAAACTCTTTAAGTAGCTCACATTTATTTATATACAAAGTAAACTCTTTTCATAAACTGACAACTTGGCAAAGTTTGTAAAGAGTAAAACTGCCTCGGAAATTGCTCTTATATCATCCTATCAAATTCTAAAGTACCTTTCACAATTGATTGGGGGGGCCCATTAGGTGGGCGGGGTAGTTGCCATTGATTTGCCAGTAATAAAACTAGTTTTTATTTCATTCCTCAGCATACCCTGTAGCAAGTGGAAAAGGTATTTGTAAGATCATTGTAAAAGTGTTTCGAGAAAGAATGGAGTAAATTGAAATATAGTATATTTTATTTGGGCAGTTAAA